CTACCTCGTGCGAGAGGTATGGGGCATGGGGCATGGGGTACGGTACGGGGCATGGGGCATGGCTCGTGCGCTCAGAACTACCTCGTGCGAGAGGTATGGGGCATGGGGCATGGGGTACGGTACGGGGCATGGGGCATGGCTCGTGCGCTCAGAACTACCTCGTGCGAGAGGTATGGGGCATGGGGCATGGGGTACGGTACGGGGCATGGGGCATGGCTCGTGCGCTCAGAACTACCTCGTGCGAGAGGTATGGGGCATGGGGCATGGGGTACGGTACGGGGCATGGGGCATGGCTCGTGCGCTCAGAACTACCTCGTGCGAGAGGTATGGGGCATGGGGCATGGGGTACGGTACGGGGCATGGGGCATGGCTCGTGCGCTCAGAACTACCTCGTGCGAGAGGTATGGGGCATGGGGCATGGGGTACGGTACGGGGCATGGGGCATGGCTCGTGCGCTCAGAACTACCTCGTGCGAGAGGTATGGGGCATGGGGCATGGGGTACGGTACGGGGCATGGGGCATGGCTCGTGCGCTCAGAACTACCTCGTGCGAGAGGTATGGGGCATGGGGCATGGGGTACGGTACGGGGCATGGGGCATGGCTCGTGCGCTCAGAACTACCTCGTGCGAGAGGTATGGGGCATGGGGCATGGGGTACGGTACGGGGCATGGGGCATGGCTCGTGCGCTCAGAACTACCTCGTGCGAGAGGTATGGGGCATGGGGCATGGGGTACGGTACGGGGCATGGGGCATGGCTCGTGCGCTCAGAACTACCTCGTGCGAGAGGTATGGGGCATGGGGCATGGGGTACGGTACGGGGCATGGGGCATGGCTCGTGCGCTCAGAACTACCTCGTGCGAGAGGTATGGGGCATGGGGCATGGGGTACGGTACGGGGCATGGGGCATGGCTCGTGCGCTCAGAACTACCTCGTGCGAGAGGTATGGGGCATGGGGCATGGGGTACGGTATGGGGCATGGGGCATGGCTCGTGCGCTCAGAACTACCTCGTGCGAGAGGTATGGGGCATGGGGCATGGGGTACGGTACGGGGCATGGGGCATGGCTCGTGCGCTCAGAACTACCTCGTGCGAGAGGTATGGGGCATGGGGCATGGGGTACGGTACGGGGCATGGGGCATGGCTCGTGCGCTCAGAACTACCTCGTGCGAGAGGTATGGGGCATGGGGCATGGGGTACGGTACGGGGCATGGGGCATGGCTCGTGCGCTCAGAACTACCTCGTGCGAGAGGTATGGGGCATGGGGCATGGGGTACGGTACGGGGCATGGGGCATGGCTCGTGCGCTCAGAACTACCTCGTGCGAGAGGTATGGGGCATGGGGCATGGGGTACGGTACGGGGCATGGGGCATGGCTCGTGCGCTCAGAACTACCTCGTGCGAGAGGTATGGGGCATGGGGCATGGGGTACGGTACGGGGCATGGGGCATGGCTCGTGCGCTCAGAACTACCTCGTGCGAGAGGTATGGGGCATGGGGCATGGGGTACGGTATGGGGCATGGGGCATGGCTCGTGCGCTCAGAACTACCTCGTGCGAGAGGTATGGGGCATGGGGCATGGGGTACGGTACGGGGCATGGGGCATGGCTCGTGCGCTCAGAACTACCTCGTGCGAGAGGTATGGGGCATGGGGCATGGGGTACGGTACGGGGCATGGGGCATGGCTCGTGCGCTCAGAACTACCTCGTGCGAGAGGTATGGGGCATGGGGCATGGGGTACGGTACGGGGCATGGGGCATGGCTCGTGCGCTCAGAACTACCTCGTGCGAGAGGTATGGGGCATGGGGCATGGGGTACGGTACGGGGCATGGGGCATGGCTCGTGCGCTCAGAACTACCTCGTGCGAGAGGTATGGGGCATGGGGCATGGGGTACGGTACGGGGCATGGGGCATGGCTCGTGCGCTCAGAACTACCTCGTGCGAGAGGTATGGGGCATGGGGCATGGGGTACGGTACGGGGCATGGGGCATGGCTCGTGCGCTCAGAACTACCTCGTGCGAGAGGTATGGGGCATGGGGCATGGGGTACGGTACGGGGCATGGGGCATGGCTCGTGCGCTCAGAACTACCTCGTGCGAGAGGTATGGGGCATGGGGCATGGGGTACGGTACGGGGCATGGGGCATGGCTCGTGCGCTCAGAACTACCTCGTGCGAGAGGTATGGGGCATGGGGCATGGGGTACGGTACGGGGCATGGGGCATGGCTCGTGCGCTCAGAACTACCTCGTGCGAGAGGTATGGGGCATGGGGCATGGGGTACGGTACGGGGCATGGGGCATGGCTCGTGCGCTCAGAACTACCTCGTGCGAGAGGTATGGGGCATGGGGCATGGGGTACGGTACGGGGCATGGGGCATGGCTCGTGCGCTCAGAACTACCTCGTGCGAGAGGTATGGGGCATGGGGCATGGGGTACGGTACGGGGCATGGGGCATGGCTCGTGCGCTCAGAACTACCTCGTGCGAGAGGTATGGGGCATGGGGCATGGGGTACGGTACGGGGCATGGGGCATGGCTCGTGCGCTCAGAACTACCTCGTGCGAGAGGTATGGGGCATGGGGCATGGGGTACGGTACGGGGCATGGGGCATGGCTCGTGCGCTCAGAACTACCTCGTGCGAGAGGTATGGGGCATGGGGCATGGGGTACGGTACGGGGCATGGGGCATGGCTCGTGCGCTCAGAACTACCTCGTGCGAGAGGTATGGGGCATGGGGCATGGGGTACGGTACGGGGCATGGGGCATGGCTCGTGCGCTCAGAACTACCTCGTGCGAGAGGTATGGGGCATGGGGCATGGGGTACGGTACGGGGCATGGGGCATGGCTCGTGCGCTCAGAACTACCTCGTGCGAGAGGTATGGGGCATGGGGCATGGGGTACGGTACGGGGCATGGGGCATGGCTCGTGCGCTCAGAACTACCTCGTGCGAGAGGTATGGGGCATGGGGCATGGGGTACGGTACGGGGCATGGGGCATGGCTCGTGCGCTCAGAACTACCTCGTGCGAGAGGTATGGGGCATGGGGCATGGGGTACGGTACGGGGCATGGGGCATGGCTCGTGCGCTCAGAACTACCTCGTGCGAGAGGTATGGGGCATGGGGCATGGGGTACGGTACGGGGCATGGGGCATGGCTCGTGCGCTCAGAACTACCTCGTGCGAGAGGTATGGGGCATGGGGCATGGGGTACGGTACGGGGCATGGGGCATGGCTCGTGCGCTCAGAACTACCTCGTGCGAGAGGTATGGGGCATGGGGCATGGGGTACGGTACGGGGCATGGGGCATGGCTCGTGCGCTCAGAACTACCTCGTGCGAGAGGTATGGGGCATGGGGCATGGGGTACGGTACGGGGCATGGGGCATGGCTCGTGCGCTCAGAACTACCTCGTGCGAGAGGTATGGGGCATGGGGCATGGGGTACGGTACGGGGCATGGGGCATGGCTCGTGCGCTCAGAACTACCTCGTGCGAGAGGTATGGGGCATGGGGCATGGGGTACGGTACGGGGCATGGGGCATGGCTCGTGCGCTCAGAACTACCTCGTGCGAGAGGTATGGGGCATGGGGCATGGGGTACGGTACGGGGCATGGGGCATGGCTCGTGCGCTCAGAACTACCTCGTGCGAGAGGTATGGGGCATGGGGCATGGGGTACGGTACGGGGCATGGGGCATGGCTCGTGCGCTCAGAACTACCTCGTGCGAGAGGTATGGGGCATGGGGCATGGGGTACGGTACGGGGCATGGGGCATGGCTCGTGCGCTCAGAACTACCTCGTGCGAGAGGTATGGGGCATGGGGCATGGGGTACGGTACGGGGCATGGGGCATGGCTCGTGCGCTCAGAACTACCTCGTGCGAGAGGTATGGGGCATGGGGCATGGGGTAGCATGGGGCATGGGGCATGGGGCATGTGGTGTGTGGAGAGGTGCATGGGTCATGGAGCATGTGGCATGTGGTGTGGGGCATGGGGCATGTTGCGTGTGGCACGTGGCATTCACTCACACAGTGCAGTGAGCATCACACAATCTCGTATTTCCCAAGCTCTGCCGCTTCCCAACTGATGTTGTATGTGCAGCAAGTGGAATAGCACTGGCTAGGCCAGTAAACACAAAACCCTGCCTGCACACTGCCCCCACCCCTCTCCACGCCTGCCCCCACCCCACCCCACCCCACCCCACCCACGCGTGCCATCAGACGGCGTGCTTCTGCATCGCTGAGGTGGCCGCCAAGATTGACCGCGCGGTGAGCTTGTACAGGGGGGAGGGGGGAAGGGGGGAGGGGGGAGGGGGGTGGCGGGTGGGGCGCCAGGTGGGGCAACTGGGTGACGGTTGGGAAGCACAGCAAGTAATATGGGTTGCCGCTACTGCTGCTACAGCGTCGCAATGCTCCTCTCTCTCACTCTCACTGCACTGCACTCTATTCCCCTGCTAATTTTTTCAGCCCTTCCCTACCTCTGCCCTCCGCACACTCTTCATCCTCCTCCCTCTGTCCCCACTCCCACCCTCAAACCCAACCCCACCCCCACCCCCAACCCCACCCCCACCCCCCATGGCACCAGGTGGTGCTACCAGTGCTGCCGGACTTGCTGCCGAGCCTCCTCCGCTGCCACACCGACCCTGTGTGGCCCGTGCGCTGTGCCGCCTGCTCAGGTGCGCCCTCCCCTGCTCAGGTGCGCCCTCCCCTGCTCAGGTGCGCCCTCCTTCCCGTGCCCTCTGCAGCCCCTGACGTTTTGTTGAGACGCGTCACTGCTGATCCCCACCTCCACTGCCCTGCTGTTCTGCACACCCTCCTGCCCATGCACATCTCTCCACTTTCAGTTCAGCCCACTTCTCTCCACTCGCGCCCTTCATCCTCTGCCCAACACTGCTCTGCCTCCATTCCCTCTTTCTCCCCTTCAACTCACACCTCTGTCCCCACCGCCTCTTTATCTCTGTCCCCTCTGTCTCTCCCCTTCGCCACCCACGCTACCAGCGAGTGCCGGTGTGGTGGAGCATTATGGTGACGTGGCAGCACAGCACATTGCCACGTGGGCACCAACCTGGCTTGCCAACCTCACAGACGGTGCGTCCTGTCCCACCCACACATTGCACGCCGTCCCCCTCATCACCTCCAAACCCCATCGCGAGGTGATCTTTGAGTCGACTCAAATGCCAACCTCACAGATGGTGCGTCCTGCCCAACCCACACATTGCACGCTGTCACTCGTCGCCCTCATCCCCTCCACTCTCCGTTGCTCTGCCCTTGGCTATTCTTTCCCTCGTGATCAGTTTTCTTCTACCACTGCCACCACCCACCCTGCCACCACCACCACCACCACCACCACCACCACCACCACCACCACCACCACCACCACCACCACCACCACCACCACCACCACCACCACCACCACACCACCACCACCACCACCACCACCACCACCACCACCACCACCACCACCACCACCATCACCCGCCCCTTGTGCCGTGTGGCAGTGATCCCGGCGGTGAGGCAGCATGCTGCTGCGCTCATAGGGGCAGCACTCACCACCAGGGAGACACAGAGCAAGGCAATGCAGGTGAGAGGGGGGGTTCAGACAGGCATGGGTCGCACATGTATGGTGGTGGCAGGGTGGCATGGTGGCAGGATGGCATGGTGTCACCACATTGTATCGTGTCAACACAGCATGTGTGTTGACTCCCGCTTCCTGTTCTCCCCGGGGCCGCCTTCTCGCCATTCCCTGTTCTCTCCCATGCTTTGAGCCGACTCAAACTCACCTCCGCAGTTTGAGACCTTTCAAAACTCTCTCTCACTCCTCTCTCTCACTCCTCTCTCCCTTCCTCGCCCCTCAGATCACTCAAGACGCGCTCCACACCCTGCTGCCTGCCGCCCTCTCTTCCCCCACCCCCCACTCGCACACACACACTCACCCTCCCACCACTGCCTCCGCTTCTGCCCCCTCCTCCACCTGCTGTCCTGCCGCCTCCCACTCCTGCTCCGCGTCCACCCACCACCACCACCATCACCCCCATCCCGCGCGTCCTCCACCTCCTCCTACCGCTGCAGCAGCGTCGTCACCAGGGCTGCAGGCGGTGCGCATCTTCCTCAGGTCCGTGCTGCTGCTCTGCCTCCCATCGCACCTCCTACTGCACTTGGCACTGCTCGTGGCGCTGCCTGCCATGCCCATCTCTCATCACCACATCCTGTCTGTGCCCCGCTCTACGTCCTCTCGTTCACTCTCTTCCGTTCTTCAATTCTCCTTTCTTCTCTCACTTTCTTCACCATACTTCCATCCCGTCGCCTCTCTCCGCACTCCAAGCAGGGACCCCTCGGCACCACCAGACCCAGCACGCCCCTCCTCCCTTGACTCGGTACGCACTCCTCTCCCGCACCATTCCTCCTTTCTCCTCCATGCCTCACAGCCTGCTCAGCCAAGCCACACTCCTCTCTTGCCATGCCCATGCCACCCCACGCCACCACATGGCAACCTCGTGCGCCCTTGTTCCCCCCATCCCCGCACCTCGCCTGCACAAGATCATCTTCGAACCCGTGCGAGTCAACGCCTTGCCATGCCCATGCCTCTCCATGCCGTCCCACGCCACTCTATCACACCCCATGCCAACCCAGTGCTCTCTTCTTCCCCCCGTCCCCCCACCTTGCCTGCAGAAGTTCATTTTTGAAACCGTGCGAGTCAACGCCTCCTCCTCCGCCTCCGCATCCGCCTCTGCCTCTTCTCCTGCCGCTATTGCCCCTGCTGCCACTGCTGCTCCTGATGCCGCTGCTCCTGATGCCGCTGCTTCTGATGCCGCTGCTTCTGCTGCCGCTGCTGCTGCTGCTGCTGCTGCTGCTGCTGCTGCTACCCCTACTACCCCTGCCGCCCCCGCTACCCCATGCACGTGCCACCATGCGCCCACAGCGGAGCCCTGGGAGCAGTCGGAGGGGGCGGTGCAGCTGCTGCCCTTCCTCGCTGCTGCTGCCCCCGCTGCTGTGGGCGAGTTCCTACCCACCCTCGCACAGCTGGTATGTGTGCCCCCTTGCCCTCTGCCCTCACCACTGCACTGTGTTATATTGCACACACCATGTTTCCTCGCTACCACCGCACCCTCTGCTGTGGGCGAGTTCCTCCCCACCCTCGCACAGCTGGTATGTCTACTCCTCGCCACCACTGCGCTGCGTTACACTGCACACACTACTTCTCTTGCTGCCACTGCCCACCTGCTGTTCCGTGCCATGCCATGAGATCCCATTCCATGCCATGCCATACCATGCCATGCCATACCATGCCATGCCATACCATGCCATGCCATACCATGCCATGCCATACCATGCCATGCCATACCATGCCATGCCATACCATGCCATGCCATGCCATACCATGCCATGCCATACCATGCCATGCCATACCATGCCATGCCATACCATGCCATGCCATACCATGCCATGCCATACCATGCCATGCCATGCCATACCATGCCATGCCATACCATACCATGCCATGCCATACCATACCATGCCATGCCATACCATGCCATGCCATACCATGCCATGCCATACCATGCCATGCCATACCATGCCATGCCATGCCATACCATGCCATGCCATACCATACCATGCCATGCCATACCATACCATGCCATGCCATACCATACCATGCCATGCCATGCCATACCATGCCATGCAGTGCTTGCATGTGCCAACGTGGTCCCTTGCCTGCACCACCCCTCTCAACCCATCCCCACCGCACCCTACATCCACCAGGCGGGTTCACCAGCAGCAGCAGCCCATCCAGCTCTCCTAGTCACCATCATGCGCCACCTACCGCGCATCGCCAAGGTCACTCCCTCCCCCCTCTCCCGCCACCACCACCCTGCCTTTCTGCCCACTCAAGCTGCCTTCACACACTCCCCGCCACACTCTCTTTTTCAAAATATTCCACTCCAATTGCTCACTCTCTCACTCCTGCTCCCTTCTCAACCTCATGCTCTTCCCCTGTCCCCATCTGCCCTCTCCCCATTCACCGTCCCCTTGCGCCCATTCCTGATACCCACCCCCCCCTTCTCCTCCCAGCCAATGGGCAAGCGCCAGTTCAAGGCGCACTTGGAGCTCTTCCTGCCACCGCTCTTCACCGCACTCGCCTCGCACCAGGTCCCTCTGCACTCCTCGCTCCCTGCTCCACCTCCCACCCCTTGCTGCCTGCAACCCACCCCTTGCTGCTCGCCCCATCGCTTTCTATTTTTCAGATTCGACCAGACTCTACCATGCCTCCATGCGCCCTTCTTCCCGCTGCCACTCAATCTCTTCCTATCCCAACTCCTTCCGCTGCTGATACTCCCCTCTTCTCCTTCCCTCCTCCCCACCGCTACAGCCGGAGGTGGCAGCAGCAGCGGGAGTGGCAGTGGCGGAGCTACAGCTGCTCATAGGGCCCAGCATCTTCGAGGGCAGGCTGTCCCCCATACAGAGAGAGGCCATGACTCGTTACAAGCACCTCATCCACCTGCGTCCCCAGCAGCCCTCCGAGCCTGCAATGCCGCCTCATGCCCACCATCGGCCTGGGTCGTGAGGCCGCGGTGGGGCCCATTGGGTGGAGTATCAGCATTCAGAATCACTACCCTCGCATGTTCTAGCATGCTTTATATTACAGCAGCACTTAGGGTGTGGTCCATACTACATTGGTACGGTTATGTAATTATGTGTGACTTCTTATATCGATTTGATAGTTTACCTCGACGAAGAGTCTTCAAGGCGGTTCGTCCAAGAGCGTCCACCCCTCGAGTTTCGCGCACTCGTCGCTGACGCGTCGGTAGTGGCTCGTGTCTGGTCAGTGTGGATTTGACGAGTGTCCGTGCATGCTGCGGCGTCAGCACTGCCCACGTCACTCGCATAACAAACCAATCGTATCGCATCACGAGCTCTCACAACAAGAACACGCCACGTGGATTGAACCAGGGGCAATTCGGTAAGCGCGCCTCGTAAGCAGCACCTAGCTCTCCCATGCCTTTCACTCGCCCCTCTGGCCCTTGCAAGCGAGGCACAAGCAAGCAGCCAAGCCCCTCGCCATGGAATTGCGGCTAAGCATCACACTGTACAGCGGTAAGGGATTGCGGTCAAGCTCCGTGGTGATTGTTGCGCTGCAGTGCGAGAAGCTGACGAAGAGGGCCCAAGAAGAGAAGCAAGCAGGGCACGCAGGGAAGAAACGTCAGTGGAAAGTCGCTTTTGCTGAGGCACCACACCACCGTACCAGGGAAGGAAAGAAACGTCCGTTGAACGTAACTGCACGTTGCCCGCCCTCGCCGGACTCGCCGCCCTCGCCGCCCTCCCCGCCCGCCCCGCCCGCGCCGCCCTCTCACGCAGCCTTCTGACTGCACGTCGAGTGGAACGCGCCGGCGCAAGCCCGTACAGCTGCCGCCGCGTGTAGAACCGCAGCTCTCGCACCGCCCGTAACGTTCGACGCAACGCTCTTAGCGGAACTTTTGTTAGCGGAGCCTCTCTTAGCGGACCGCCTCTTAGCGAACATCTCGTTCGCCGCGCCTGTCTGCTTCCCCCCTTGCGGTCCTTCTCATGGCTTCGCACGCCCCTTGCGACGCGTCGCAACAACCGCAGCGACAAGCTGCGGCACAGATGAGCGACGCGGTGAGCGACGCTGTGCGATGGTGCGCGAACGCGGGCGACATGGAGTGCGCGCTGTTCCTGATGTCGCGAATGAAGCAGCGCGGCGTGCGACTGAGCGACGCCTGGTGAGAGCTGCTCGTTGCTGCCCTTCCGTGCCTCAGTTCCCTGCCTTCCATCTCGCGATGCTTCCTTGCCCTTGCGCTGCCCCTCGCCGTTGCGCTGCCGCTCCTTTGCGCTGCCCCTTTTTTCCGCTGCCCCTCGCCTTTCCGCTGCCCCTCACCGTTGCGCTGCCCCGTGGCCCATTGCGTGCGCCATACCGGCTCTTGCTGCCCTCCTCCTCGTCGCTCGCCCCAACCACTCCCAACGTGCTGTGCTCGCTCCGCTAAACACACCGCGTACTAAGGAAAGAGCACATGCATCCCTGAGACGTTATAAGACGGAAACACGTTGCGCTCGAAGCATCAAGGGCAATGCGCTTTTGAGGCGTCAGAAAGAAGGGATGGATTTTGAATGAAAATATGGTGCATTGAAGCATCAAATCAAATCACATCAGCGCACGTTTACCTCCGTACAGTGCTGATTTCACAGCGCCCCCGTCGCTCTCCTTTCCCTGCTCGCATTCACCTCCCTCCTTCCAGCCACCCCATCCTCTCCCCATGCCCCTCCCCATGCCCTTCACGCCCCCGTCCCCCTCCCAGTCTCGATCTGTTCTTCTGCCCCAGCGAAGCTCCCCACTGCCCCTCCTCGCCCCCCTCTTCCCGCTCCCCGCCTCGCCTGCCGCCTGCACCCGCCTCGCCCCCATCCCATTCCACCTCCCCCTCCTCCACCTCCCTCTGTGCTCCCTCCAACTCCCCCTCCTCCGCCTATCCCTCCCCCTCCCACTCCCCCGCGTGCCTGTCCCCCGTGCACGCGTCCAAGTGGCGGAGGCAGCAGCAGCGCAGGAGGCACACCATCCTGCTTCACCCGCCCACGCCGCACTCCCTCTGCCACTCCCACCTCGTCCGCGCGCCCCCTCCTCCCCCCGCATTCCCCCCTGCTGCTGCTTGGGGGGCGTCCGGTAGCTCTGCTAGGGCTGCGCCAGATAACCAATCGCATCCTGCCACGTCACAGGAGGATAATGACAGCAGTAGCAGTTACGGTGACATCAGCACTCTCTCACTCTATCCATCAACCTCCTCCTCCTCTTCCTCGCTCTCTTCCCTCTCCCTCCCGCACTCTCACAACTGTCCCGCCCACCCCGATCACGACACCGCTGACTCAGCATGCTCGCCAGCGTGGCGCCATGCCACGTGTCAGGCGCAGCAGCATTCCGGGGGCGGCTGGAGGGACGTGCCAGGGGAGGTGCTGGTGGCCATTCTGGATGGCACTGACAATCGCACACTGCTGTGCGCCGCTGCTGTCTGCAGGGGGTGGGCCGCTGCTGTGTTTGGATTAACTTCCCAGCTGTCGCTCGACTGGTGAGGCGTCTGCTGTGCACGTGTGGTGTTGTGGTCTTAGGCACTTGGATTGGAATTCGGGTGTTAATAATGTTATAGCCGACTCGTGCCAGTGCTCTAAGGCACTGAGGTTGCCCACTTTGGAAGTCCCGAGCTGCTTACCCCATGCCAGAGTTGATTAACCCATGGCAGACCTGCTTATCCCAATGCGCTAACGTTTTCCTCACTCGAACTTTCCTTCCCCTGTGACGACTACATGTGCGTAACACAGGTGTGCCAACGGCGTCAACTCGCTGGCCTCTCACCTCGTGCCCCACTTCGCACGCCTGCAGGTGTGTGCTTCGTCACGCACACACGCTCACCATTCACCCCTCCGCTCACACCTTCACTAACCTCACAAACTCTTGCAGAAATGTCCATGATCACTCACCCCCCCCTCCCGTTGGCCTTCCCCATCCACCCATTCTCCCTGCGAACACCATCCCTTGCTGCTGCTGCGCCACCCCCCTTCTCCGCCCTTTGCCATGCACCCGCTTTAAACCCCACTTTTAATCCTAATTTTCCTCCTCCGCCTACTCCTTCCCCCCCTTCCACTCCCTCTCTTCCACACCACCTCACCCGTCCCACCAGGTGCTCAATCTGCGACGCTGTCCATCTCTAAAGGATGCCACGCTGGCAACCGTTGCCGCCAGCTCACCCATGCTGACGTGTCTGCTCCTCAGTGGCTCCCCTCTCATCACCGACATCTCACTGCATGCACTCGCCTCCCACTGCCCCTCGCTGCAGGTATGCCTGCCCCTCACTCCCGTCTCACCCCTCGCCTCCCATTTTTCCTGCGTTTTTCTCTGCCATCCATGCATCTCGCTGTCTCCCCCTCCGCTGCCCGCCTCATTCCCCCCATCCCTCCATGCCACATACGCCTCTACCCAACCTCCCCCCCCCCCCCCCCCCCCCCCCCTCCCCCCCCCCGCTCCCAGGTGTTGGATCTGAGTGCCTGCAGTGCCATCTCCCCTGCGGGCATCACAGCACTGGCAGTGCACTGCACGCACCTCAGAGAGCTCTCCCTATGTGGTTGCCGCCATGCCACCACCGACCATGCTCTCACTGTGCGTGTGCTCTGTTCGCATCAGCCTTGGTGTGCTCGGAAAGAAATTTGCTGTACAACGGGTGTTTGGTCTAGTGGCATGATTCTCGCTTAGGGTGCGAGAGGTCCCGAGTTCAATTCTCGGAACACCCCTTGTGTTAATTTTTTCACCTTAAATTTTGGTTGTGTTGTCTCTTCCCACACCGAACCCCCTCTTTGCTGCTCTTCACCGACCGTTCCCCGCTCCATCTCCCCCATGCGCTTTTCAAGAGGTGCTGGTGGCTACAGATGGGGCATCCAGACAAATGTTTTCCCCAAGAACGTTTGCACCGTTTCTTTCCTCCCCCCTCCCTCCTACCTCCTCCCGCAGGCACTATCCCAGGGGTGCAAATGGCTGGAAGTGGTGAATCTGGGGTGGTGTGAGGGCGTCACGGACCGAGGGGTCACAGCTGTGTTGTTTGCTGTATTGTCCCTTCCCACCCTCAACGCCCCTCCGCTGTCCCCCTATCTCCCTATCCCCCAGGCGCTATCCCAGGGGTGCAAATGGTTGGAGGTGGTGAACCTGGGGTGGTGCGAGGGCGTCACGGACCATGGGGTCACGGCTGTGGCCAGGGGATGCCCCGGGCTCAGGGTGGTGGACCTCTGTGGCTGCTACCGCATCACAGGTATGTTCGGAGTTTATTATGGTATTGAGGTGTCTAGTAGATATGCTTTTAGCGGACTGAAGGGTCACGGGTGTGGGCTGGAGACACTGGCCTTGGGATTCATTCTAAGGTGGACTCATCAAATGGCTCATGCTGCAGCATGGGTCTTCGTGTAGCAAAGAGGGCCTTGGGATTGCGTGCACGGGTGGCCCCAACAAGGCATTTGCTCTTTTCCGCACACACACACACACACACACACACACCCTGTGCTAAGCTGCCCGGCACGGCACTTGTGCCCCTCCTTGCGCTCACACGTCCATCCCTCACACGTCCATCCCTCTCACGTCCATCCCTCACACCGCTCTGCTGCCCTGCTCCACTCCCATTCTCCTCCACGACTGCGCCCCTCAATGACCATCCCACCACATTCCACGAGAAACAATGCATCCTCCTCCTCCCAACCCCCTCACCCCCCATCGTTCCGTGTGACCACCAGATGTGTCAGTGGTGTCACTCGCAGCGCACTGCCCCTTGCTGCAGCGCGTGGGGCGCTTTACTAGTAACAGTGCATCTTTTCTTCTAACCCATTTGCCCTCCCTATGTGCCGCCCTCCACCCCAATCAGACGCCTCAGTGGTGTCACTGGCAGCGCACTGCCCCTTGCTGCAGGGCCTGGGGCTGCACTGCTGCCGCCAGCTCACCAGCCACGCCATGCTGGCACTCGCTGACGGAGCGGCTGCCACGTGGCACCGCCATGCTGGCAAGCACGGATCCTTAAAACCAGCATCCATGGGAGCGTGTGGGAGGGCTGTTACAGTGGCACGGGGCATGAGGAGAAGCACCCCTCCCAGGCTAAACCTGCCTGCCCCCCCTCGCATGTGAGCAGCATCACTTCATCCCCTGTTGTGCCTTAGTTTGTGCTTCTGCTTCTGGCGCCTCGTTTCTGACAGCACAAGGACGGCAACGGCTGGCCTACATGTACCGTGTCCGTGTGCTCTTTGCACCAACTCCTCTGCTGCAATGCCCCATGCATGCCGATAGCATGGACACACATTCTACATGTATCTGTGCATGCTTTGCCACCACCACTCATACTCTCACTCTCCTCTCTCCTCAACTGTATCCAATTCTCATTCATCGCCGCAACCTCAAACCCCAAATCCATGTCCCCTCGATGCGGCCCACCTCTCACCTCCACCCAAATCCTCAGGGGCGATGCCACCACGGTGCTCTACTCGCGCCCGCCACGTGGCGCGCACGGATTGGTCTCGCTCAACATCAGTGGGTGCCTAGCCATCACCCCAGCAGCCCTGCAGGCGGTGTGTGACGCGCACCCCCATCTGCACACCTGCCCCGCCCTCCGCTCCCTTAACACCAGTGGCTGCATCGCCTTGCAGCCCGTGCACTGCCGCTGCCCCCGTGCCTCTGCTGCCTGACCGCTCCCACCTGTTGCTGCCAGCCATGTCCCCTCAACCCTACAGTGCGCACCTCACCTTCACACCTGCCGCGCCCGTCGCTCTCTCAACACCAGTGGATGCATCACCCTGCACCGTTGCACTGCCACCGTGCCTCTGCTGCATGACTGCTCTCTCAACTGGGGTGCTGCCGGTCATCTCCCCTTCAGCCCTACAGCACGCACCCCCATCTGTACACCTGCCCTGACTGTCGCTCCCTCAGCACCAGCGGCTGCATTGTCCTGCAGCCCGTGCACTGCCGCTGCCACCGCGCCTCCGCTGCCTGACCGCTCTTGTTGCTGCCGGCCACCTCCCCAGCAGTCCTGCTGGCATTGTGCAGACCCGCATCCCTTGCACACCTGCCCCACATGCCGTTCCCTCAACACCAACGACTGCATTGCTCTACAACTCATGCACTGCCGCTGGCCCCGCACCTCCGCTGGCAGACTGCGCGCTCTCTCCGCGGGATGCCTCCCAGTGCCCACCCGGGCTGCTCTCTCACCAGTGGGGTGCCTGCTCAAGCGACAGACTGCTTTGTCTGCAAGTACTTTGCTTGTGGAAGTAATGGACCACAGCCACTGGGTGTCTGCAGCTCTGTAGATGTTCATCACATGAATTTGATGTGTAAATAGTGCACAGTAGTATTTGCACGGAGCTTCTTACTGCTTGACAAGAGGTAGTCCACAGCAACCTAGCCCGATGGTTCTGACTCTTCTTGATGATTTCATGAACCCGCCAGGTGAGAGGCCCATGCGCAGCACCTTTCCTCTGAACGCTAGCTGAGTGCAGCGGAGGAAAATATAATTCATTGCGCTTTTGCAGGCGTATAAAAGTCTAGCACTGTCCAGGTATCACTACCAGGTATCACCTGCGCAGTATCTTGGTTCACCCATCCCCTAGGCAGCAGTCTTGGGCTTGAGCTCCTTGACCACCTCCCACGTGAAGTCGGGGTCGTCGCGCCCGAAGTGGCCGTGCGCGGCGGGTGCTCTGGCGGTGCACCTGTAAGAGCTGCACCCTGTAAGAGCCAGCTTAGCTTTGCTTTGAATCTGAATTGCCTGTTTTGCGAACGAAATATATAATCCATTACGTTTCGCAGGCGTATAGAAGTCTAGCACTGTCAACAGCACTACCAGGTATCACCTAACAGGTATCTTAGAGTCATGTCGCCAATCCCTTAGGCAGCAGTCTTGGGCTTGAGCTCCTTGACCACCTCCCACGTGAAGTCGGGGTCGTCACGGCCGAAGTGGCCGTACGCGGCCGTCTTCTGGTAGCGTCCGTTGCCGCCCTTCTTCAGGTCCAGGTTGATCGAGATCATGCCCGGCCGGAAGTCAAACGCCTCCTTCACTAGCTCGAGGATCTCCTTATCGGGGATCTTGCCCGTGCCGTACGTGTCCACGAAGATCGACAGCGGCTCAGGCACACCGATGGCGTACGAGACCTGCCAGAAGGATAGCAAGAGGATGGGTTGAGTTAGCACCATCATCGATGAACTCCCAGCAGTATGAGCTAAAACTTGGTACTTGGTGCTTAGATCCACGTATCCACCGAAGTTCATTTCAGGGAGCATCATCAACCGGGTGCGAGTGGTGTGTGACGTGGATCTGTTTCTTCGGGGTGGTCACGAAACAGACACCACATCTTTCGACCCAAGTTTCTTAAACCCTGCAACCCGTCCATCGATTCTCACCTGCACGAGCGCGCGCCTGGCGAGGCCGGCAGCGACGATGCTCTTGGCAGCCTGGCGAGCGACGTACGCGCCGGAGCGATCCACCTTGGTGGGGTCCTTCCCGGAGAAGGCACCGCCTCCGTGCGCGCCCCACCCGCCGTAAGTGTCGATGATGATCTTCCTGCCAGTGAGACCGGCGTCTCCGTGGGGACCACCAATGACGAAGCGGCCGGAGGGGTTGAGGTGGAAGATGGTGTTGTCGTCGAGGTACTTGGCGGGGATCACGGGCTTGATCACGTGCTCCTTAAGATCCGCCGCGATCTTCTCGTTGGTGACCGTCTCGTCGTGCTGCGTCGAGATGAGCACCGTGTGCACGCGGATCGGCACCATCGCGCCGCCCTCGTTCTTGTACTCAACGGTTACCTGCGTCTTGCCGTCGGGCCGCAGCCACGGGCACACGCCGTTCTTGCGCACCTCCGTGAGCTTCGCGCCCAGCTGCGTGGCGAGCACGTGCGTGAGCGGCATGAGCTCGGGGGTCTCGTCAGTGGCATAGCCGAACATGTGGCCCTGGTCACCCGCACCAATCTCCTCGGGCTTCTTGGTGCCCATGCCGTGCACGCCCTGTCCAATGTCGGGGCTCTGCTGCTCGATGTTGATCAGAACCTGCAGATTCCACCACGTAGTGAATCGTCAGAACGTATCCCGCTAAGTGACACTACGCGACGCTTACTAAGACGATGGATCCGTGAAATCCTTGAAAGGAAAAAGGACGCAACGAAAATATGTACATAAAAAACAGACGGAGTTTTAAGAAGGGCGTACATTGCACTTGTCGCAGTCGAGGCCGACGTCGTCGGAGACGAAGCCGATGTTCCTGACGGTGTCGCGCACGATCTTCTCGTAGTCGAGCTTGGCCTTGGTGGTGATCTCGCCGAAGATCATCACCATGTTGGTCTTGGTGCACGTCTCACACGCCACCTTGCTGTCGGGGTCTTGCTCCAGGCACGCGTCGAGCACGGCATCGGACACCTGTAGGTCCACCATGCGCACCAGCACAAACAAGTACACGCACACACACGCGCACGAACAAGCTAGCTTAGTAAATCCGCACTGGGCTTCTTAATCATCTGAATCCAGATTCGTCGGCGAAACGAGCGAGCTAATGGACTTTAGAAACATTTTAGGAGAAGGTGGTGGATTTACCTGATCGCAAAGCTTGTCAGGGTGTCCCTCGTTCACAGACTCGGAGGTGAAGAGGAAAGTTTCCGTGGCCATGGCTGTGAATTTGGAAAAGAGAAGCTGAATCTGTGGAACGATACGGCCTACGGACAGAGGGAAGCTGAAGTGAGCTAAAGATACTGGAAGCAAAAATGAATTCGGTTTCTTATCATCGTCATGTCAGTGTGTGGAGGTTTCCCTGGGCGACAGCGCAAAGCTCGATAGGCGACAGATCAATCCCCGATGGGCGACCCCATCACCGAACATTGTGCGATGGGGTGACCCCGAGGGGACGGATGTCGGATGGCGGGAAAATGGGACCGCGGGATTTGTCAATCTTCCCTGGGGTCGCAGCCCTCGATTGACGCGGGAGGTCATCTTGACCGTCCGATACAGTCAGGCTGAAGTCTCAGGAGCGCCAGCTGATCATCGATGCGTGCGAACGGAGCACGCCTCTCGAATCACGATACGCCAGGTCACTTTCGGCGGAAGGTGATACCACAGCCACCACTTTTCGCGAAACCCCACACTTCATGGAAATGTGAATCGTTCGGTGTACCTAGTCCAGAGGTAAACGGATAAAAAAATGACGTACAATGCTTCATTAACTTATTCAGTACTCACTACTCTCACAAGTGTACAATTCAAGTATGCTACTATATGATCATGCATCCCTCCACCCAGGTTCTGACTCCACTGCACAGGAAGATATAACAGGTGGCCTATCTATAAATGTTAATAGTGTACCTAAAACATGTGCTCCCCTAATGTGCGGTCTTGCTTTGCAGGGCATCCAGCAATTGGTTAGCCTGCAGCAGAAGAGAGACATTGTCAGGAAAAAACATGAGGAGGTCACCATCGCACTTCCAAACGTGCACTTCGGTTGGTTGCGGTAGCAGCCGCTGGCATACACATAAAGACACCCAATCACCCCCAAATCCCGACTACTACAAACCTCACAACATTCCATCACCCATTCATGACCCATCAAATCAACCTACCGTGAGTCGGGCTCTTGACGACCCGCGGTGCCTCATCTTGCGCAGCACCAGCAGCGCACCCTCCTCCAGCATCTCCTGCCGCGCACCCTCCTCCTCCACCACTCTCAACAGCACCGCCCCCACATCCTTCTGCACCCTTCTCCACCGCTGCTGCTCCCCAGCGCCACTCCCCACACACCCCACACTCCCCGCACCTCCCCCGCCCGCCCCTTCCTCTGACACGGCACTCAGCTCTGCCAGAGAAGCCATGGATGGGGAGGCCCCCAGAGCCGTGCTGCTCGCCCCCAGCAGCTCCACCAGCGGTGGTATACCACCGGCCGCAACGATCTGCCTGCTGCCCTCCTTGGCCTGCGCCAACCTCGCCAGCACGGCTGCTGCTTTCTCCTCTAAACCCAGCCGCATCCCCCCCTCCTCCTCCTCCAGCATCCGCACTAGAGGACAAACAGCGCCGGTCGCGATGATGGCCGGCACGAGGTCAGCGCAGAGGGAGAGGTTGAAGAGCGTGAGGGCGGCGTCCTTGCGGCTGCGCAGGGAGCGGGCGGGCGAGGGCGGCAGCATGTGCACCAGCCCGGCGATGGCGCCTGCCGTGCCCGCCACCCGCCGCCTCATGGCGTCCGGGTCGCATCCAAAGGGGTTCAGAGCGGTGCTGGGAGGTTCAGGAGGAGTCGGGTTGGGTTTTGAGGCGAGATTTCCAGTGAGGGATGGCTGGGAGTTCTCCTCTTGTAGGGAAGAGGAAGAGGAGGGGAGGAGGGCGAGGTGGGCGGTGGAGAGGGAAGGGCCGGTCAGAGAGGAGGTGGAGGAGGAGAGAGAGGTGGAGTGTGCAGAGGAGAGGGAGTGGGGGAGGGGCGACGACGTGAGCATGAAGAGAGCAGCTGCTGCATTCTCCCGTGCCTCTTGTGACACCACTGACAGCACCCCACCCACCCCTGCTGATCCCGCTGGCCCCTCATCACCGCCTCTATGCGCCTCTTGGCACCCACCCCCCATTCTCCTCTCTCCATCACCACCACCACCAATGCTGCCATCACAGTCATGGGGGCAGCAGGGGCGGGCAACGAGGCGGGAGAGGCCGTCCACAGCGCCTTGGGCCAGCAGGGCGCCGTGAGTGGCGGGCGACAGTGACAGGTTCAGCAGCGCCGTCACCGCGTGCCCCACCGCCTCCCGCGCGCTCTCCCTCCGCGCGCTCTCTGCGCTCGTTACTTCACGCGCGCTCTCCGCGCTCGCTGCCCTGCGCACCTGCTCCCCCCCCTCCGCTGCCTCCGCCCTTTCCGCCGTTTCGGCTTCGTTCGCCTCTGCTCTACCCGCCACAATCGCCCCGCAGGCTGCTGCGCTCTCCTCGCCCCCCGTCCCCAACCGACCTCCGCGCTCCACCTCACCTACAGCCCGCGCTGTCCCCCCAACTGGCCTTTCCCCTTCGCTCCTCTCCGCCTCGCCCGCAGCGTTTCTTCCGCGCGCTTTCCGCCCCTCAGCTCCGCGGATCCGCGCGCTCTCCGCCAGCAGCAGCGCGTCCGCCACCCCCACGAGCGCGCCGATGGCGCCCGGCACCGCCGCCACGATGCTGCGATTCGCGTCGCTGCTCTTCACCAGCAGCCGAACCGCGCGCGCTGCCGCCGAAACCGCCGCCAATCCTTCAGCGCCTCCCGCGCATTCCGCTGTTCCCAATCCGCGCATCGCGATCTCTTCCTCCCCGCGCCTTTCCGCCACATCCGCGCAAAGCGGTCCCGCCAGCTGTTGCGCCGCCCCCCTTACCGCGCGCAGCTCCCCCATGAGGTGCGCAACCATTCCGCGCACCTCCCCCTCCATGCGCAGCCGCTGCTGCTCCGCCTCTTCCCATCGCAGCGCCTCTTGCTCCCACCCCACTATTCCCCCCGTTCTCTTCGTTCCCCCCGGCGAAGTGTGCGGCCTCTCGCTCTCCCGCGCTCCGCTGTTTCCGCCAATAGCCGCCCAATTTGAGGGGCTGGGCGTGACGATAAGCGCGCCCGTTTGTAGCGAGTACGCGCATTGCAGAGTGCGGGGAGATGGGGCGCTAGAAAACGACAAATAAGTGCCGCCCGGAGTACGTGGCACGCCAGCCTCGGAGTTTGTCGGCGAAACGGTGGAATCGGAGAAATGCGCCGGAGAATGCGGAACTTCCACTCGCACAGCCGCGCGGTGCAAGGGGAGAAACGAGGCGTCGCCGGAATGCGCGGCGCGCATCTTGCGAGGCGCGGAGGAATTGCTCTTAGGCGATGTCGAGGCTTCGAGGCTCTTCCACATGTCCATAATTTCCGGCGGTGACGTGGCATCGCCAGATGCGGTCGACTCTCGGGAAGCGGAGCGCCGGGCTCGAAAGGGGGAACCCGCGGCGCTAATCGCGGAGTGCGGCGCTGACGTGGATACGCTACTAGTCAGGTCGGATGATGACGTAAGACCTGCTCCATACTGGCCGTTCGGCGCGCCGAATGACGTAACCGACGGCTCCACCTCTCTTGCTGCGAATATCGCGCGCGACGCACCCCCAATACCTGCGCCTTCCGCCATTCCCTTCAACGATAGCAGCGGAGTGCCATCGTCGTCTCCCCGCACTTGCTGCGCCGGCTCCGCTGGCTTCTCCGCGCCCGCTGCTGGGGGTTGCGCGTCGCCGCGCGTGCTGCTCTCCGTGTCGGTGTCGTCGCCGTAGAACGAGCGCGTGGCGGGGTTGCGGCAGCAGATCAGCGACCACACGCGCCGGTGGTGCGCGCCGTGCGGTATGGACGACGAGGAGGTGACAGCCATGGCAGCGCCTAACATGGACGGATGGGGTAGTAGCGCTAACTAGTGAGAGTCTTGAATTGCGAGCTCTTATCAACGAGCGGGTGACGGGGCTAGGTTTGGTGCGGTCAAGTTGCGCCACAGCAACTGGTTCGGGCCATACCTCTTCCATCCGCGCTGAAAATGGCATCGCAAGTTGTAAGCACTGGGATATTCTCTGCGTTTCCAGGGTCTTGCCAAGGTTTAGTACGTTCCTGTGTGGTGGAGGGAGATGAAAGCAAAGCCGGCACGTGCAACGTTTGGCCGAGAAGCAATTGCCATGAGCGTTGTGTGCGTGAACTTGCCGCGTAACCGCGTTCTGTGGTCTGGTCTGGAGTCGGACACCGTTTCACGACAAAAATTGTTCAGTTACCGAAGCCGCTGTACACTGTCGTCTTTAATCACCATTTATTCACACTCACTGCCAGGTGTACAACTGCTTTACTGGACACTGATAGATATGGAACGTAGTAGTTGTTGGCTGAAGCTGTAAGTGTAAGGAATTACAATTCCTTACTGTACTCGCACTTTAGCGAGTACATCCCGAAGGTGTCGCGACGAACCTGTTCGGCCTATTTCGTCGCACCGAACCACCCCCGAGTCGGCCTCCGCTCCAATCGTGGCCAACCATCACCAAGCCATCCCATCCCGAACCCTCGCCTAGCTACGATTTCCCCTATTTAGTCGTGCCTTTCTCATTGTATCGTCATTCAGTAGTCAACCATTCTCGTTATTCGATATCTGCGCACTCTGACAAGTTCATTCATAACACCTGGTATCAGAGCTACTTTCCTAGCCTACCCCGTTTTTTTTAGTGTAATACCCCTCGGGGGGGGGGACGAGTAAGGATGCCTTGGGGTCCAGGAGTTGCGTAGGCCGGCCAAGAGAACTAGTTAGTTGCTCTTCGCGGCCATGGTTTTACGGGGCACTCCTTCGGCACCGCCAGATCCTTAGCTCGAACGGTCGCGATCGACCGTGACCTCCCTCCCCCCGGGCGACGGGCAGCAGTAGCTGTCGCGACGTTTTCGTAAGTAATTTCCGCTGCGATTTCCCGACGATTTCGTAGGTCTATTCGTGTGGCAGCTGGCGTCAGCGGATCTGCGTCGGCATCTGCATGAACGGCCTCGACTTCGTCAGCAAATGTGGCAGCTGGCGTCGGCAGATCTACGTCAACAGTGCGCGGAGATTTCGGGATCGTCTGCACGCGGCAAGTGGCGCCGGTGGCTCGCCGTCATCTTGTGCGCGAGATTCTCGGGAGAATCTTCGGCAGCTGAAGACAACGGGCCTGCGTCAGCATGGGCGACAATTTCGGAGGTTTCTACTGTGAAGAAAAGGGCAGCTCTAAGAACTCGCCAGGCGCAAATGGAGTTTTGCGTCAGAAGACCCCGACGGCTGGGAGAGATAGACGCTCAAGCCGCCCGAATTTAGCGGGGGTTGAGTTTCATCCCGTCCGACCGGATAGTACGGCGCTTACCGTACTGGCGGACGAGTCGTCGACGATTTTCGGCAGAAGTGCTTGTGGACAGACGGGAACTTTGGACCCGCCGACACTTACGGGCTGCAAAGGACAACGACGTGGCTGAATCGCACTTAGCAGGAGTGGGGCGCAGGCGCGAGGGCATATCGGGACTGAACACCCGAAAAACACTCGTTTGACGCTGCGTGCCTGGAGCTGCTTGTCAGCTGTTCGACAGTTTCGAGATCGGTTTCCCCGTTCAAGGAAGCCGTTTTCGGGGACAGCCGCAACAGCCCACGATTAAACGGTGTTCAACGTGCCACCCCGACAATTTCGGAGTGTGGTGCAGGCCGCCGGGACACGCGTGAAGAAACTGCCCAACGGCTAAGCGGGGGTTGAAGAACGTCGTGGGGAGCAGATAAAAGCCGGTGGAACCGATCTGCGGCCCTACTTCGCCCGAACCTCACCATCCCCACCGATTACTGGTTCCGACTCATGCAGTCGACCTTATTCGGATGAATAACGGGGGTGAACACGAGCCTACCCTGCGCTGGTTAAAAGCACCTGGTTTGGTGCCCGTTCGACAGCTGTACAGAAAAGACAAAAAAGGGGAGTTGCGGCACTGTTCTACTCCGACAAAAGCGGGCTGGGTGAAACAGCACGCGAAAAAATCGGGGCGCCGCAGGACAACACTGGTGCAGTTTACAGGTTTCCTCTGACCCGGGCGTCTACACGAGGTGACGGCGCAGCGGCGAAGCTGGGACCGGAAGCTGTGGAATTTTAGTGGCGCGACGGGCACGGTGGGCTGCGAAGCGGTTGGGACTGATTTCCTTTTAACTAAGGCAACCCCGACTCCGATAGTCTTTTCTTCTCCACCGTGGCTGGGGTTCGCGCAGGGCAACACCGACAATACCCCATCCGACAAAAGCGGACGCTGGGTGAACGGCGGGAAGCGGAATGTTCGGGGGGTGAAACGACAAAAAAAATATGAAGCTGAGGGTGTTTCTTCGTTTCTTGGAGTGCGGTTGAGTCGCTGTGGGACGTCGCCTGAAGGGCGCTTTTCGAAGTTGCCTGGCAAGAAACACAGCGGCAGGGATACCTAGGACCCCTGGTGTTTAAACGCACACCTCGGGAAATTCTTCAAAAAAGGGAAGCGTGGGAGCAGTCGTAGCTTCGGGAACTTATCGGCCGGCGACGAGCGATGGGTGAAACATCTGCAAAGCGCTGGTGGGAGAAATAGGTTGTTTTGTTAAGCGACATCGGCGGGAGCGGTTTTCGACTTCGGAGTCAACGGCGTTGATGCCACTAGGTTCCGTGAAATTCGGTCTCGGAAGACCCAGGGCAGTCCCCGGTTCTCGATTGAACCCACATGCTGGGGTCGGGTAAACCGAAGGAAACTGATGGTGACCGGGTGGGCGGCTATAGTACGACCGAAGATTTCGGAGGCGAACTGCACCTGCAACTGCGGATTTTCGGGGTTTGATTTGACCGACATTTTCGGAGTTCTACGTGGAGACTTACAGGGTTACGGCGGGAAGCGCCGACAATTTCGTGGGATTTCATTGGAGCTTGGTTAAACGGGAGCGGCAACGACGGCGGGCAACAGCGCGAGATTTACACGGAGTTTTCAAGGGGTACGAAGGACTTACGACGAACTGAAGAAGGCGGCAGCAACAGTGGAAGGGGGGAGAGACAGCTGTAATTTTTACATCTCTGCCCGGGAGTCATCGGCGGATTGCGACAAAATGCTCGGCGAGTATGGACAAACCCGCCGGAGGTGCTGACATCATCTGACACTGATTCGTGTTCGACAATATTTTTCGGAGTGACATTCGCTACGGTTACCGATTCGACGACCATCGCCAACTCTCGTCTTCACCTTCGCGACCAATCGCCTTCACGATCGAAATTTCGTAACACTCCCGATTTTACGGCCAGAAGAATTTCGGAATAGTCGCTCCAACTCTACTAACGACACTTCGCCCAAATCGACCCGCCCACGACAAACGATTTAACTTCAGCCACGTCAGGTGCTGCCAGCTGCAACTGCCGAAGATACTGCAGGATTCTGGCACATGACGACAGCACAGGTCCAGTTCGAGCAACGACGAATTTTCAACGGAGTTTCTGGTCTACTTTCGCTGGTTCGCCCTTGAAATTTTCGGGGCACTTAACACCTGGTTTCCTAATCGAGTTTCCACACCGACGCAGTTTTCACTTGGACTTCTACGTTCAACGTTCGTTTTCAGTGGGAATTAACACCTGGTTTTGTTTGTTTTCACCTCGGCGCAGCATCGGGAACTTTTCTGGTGTGTTTTCTTGAAGGGGGGGAGAAAGTGCGCTGCACTGTTTTCCTTCGGCGTTTTCCCTTCGGTACTGTTCTGACATTGCCAGAATGCAGCAGCACGGCAGACGGTCAAGATCGCGACAACGAAATCAACGTTCCTGAGCAGTCGTGCTTGAATTTCGCGTCAGACTGCTCCCTCCAAAATCGCGTCAGCCTTCGACCGTCAGATCGAACATCGATTTCATCAACGGCCCTGTTTCCAACCTTCAATTCGAATTGGTCCAGTTCATCCGCAACCGTCAGATCGAGATCTGACTACATCTACGGTTCATATTCCAACCTTTCTTTAAAGTTGTTGAAGACAATTCCAGCCGTCGGATTCAGCTAAAAGACAGATCAACGACGTACTCACTACGGAAGGCTTCGGTCTACATACAGGGAGGGCTTATTTGGAAGGTGGGAGAGTGTAAGGAATTACAATTCCTTACTGTACTCGCACTTTAGCGAGTACATCCCGAAGGTGTCGCGACGAACCTGTTCGGCCTATTTCGTCGCACCGAACCACCCCCGAGTCGGCCTCCGCTCCAATCGTGGCCAACCATCACCAAGCCATCCCATCCCGAACCCTCGCCTAGCTACGATTTCCCCTATTTAGTCGTGCCTTTCTCATTGTATCGTCATTCAGTAGTCAACCATTCTCGTTATTCGATATCTGCGCACTCTGACAAGTTCATTCATAACAGTAAGCGATCGATATTTGGGAACACGTAAACGTCATAAGTATCAACACAACTGGCATTTACTGTATTCAAATCAGAGCTGCTATTATGAGGTAGAAACGAGTGGGGATGATATCCCAGGGTCTCCGGAAGAATGAACGAATCGCCACCACCACTGTTCGCCACCGCCCAGGTTTCTGGTCAGACACACAACAAAGGCGTCGCCGCAATTTTTTAGTGTCGTTGCTGACTTATCAATCGAGGTGCTGCGATCAGGGTTCTGCGAAGTGCGGAAGGCGGGAAGTGCGTGTCTGACGTAACATCCCAGAGTCGCCTGCGACAGGCTTGGGGCGTCGCCACCAGAGCGAGCCAGGAGGAGACGTGGACGTGCCAATGGCGCCCTGAGGTGGTGTGAAATTGCATCCTGAAAAATGGGGCACTGTGAAATTCGGACCATTAACCCAGGGCTCCTTTCCTAGTAGGAAATAACCCATGGAGTTTCATGCCAAACAATACTGGATTCCCAAGAGAAATGCGTTGAGAAATGCTGTTTTGTTGTAATTCTCGGTTTCCGGGCGTGGTTCCAACCAACAACCCGTCTTGGAAACACGGCCCCGCAATATATACAACCGCTGCTGCTTCGGCGCTTTTGCCCTCGCATCAGCAATGCGAGGGAAAAGCTGACGCATGCTCCACTTCCTGGCAACTGGCAAATAGCTCATCTAGCAAAACCAGCATTCCACCTGACGTCAGTCACGGCTGATAATTCCCCACTCACGCTATTAGTTGCTTACTCAGCTTGCTGTTGGAGTGCCTTCGCGCGAATTACATGTTATAAGAGTTAGATTTAGAGTCCATTTCCTGCCGTCGTTTCAGATTTCGCCGCCTTGTCCGCCTCTACCACTTATTCTGAATCTCTTCGTTTCGATAGTCACTATCGCTCTTACATCATATGAAGTAGCCCATATCCTTGATTCAGCCACTTTCATCCAATCAGCGAGTGCCACATGGCACATTTGACGCACTTCACGCTGCAAGTCCACGCCGAGCATGCCTACTCCCCCTCCTCAGTCGGGTCGGCTCCCTCGTTTATGCCCGCCTCGCCTTCCCTCCTCACTCTCTCGCAATTCCTCGCCGCGCCGCTCGATCGCGCCGTTTTTCTCACCGCGGCGCGACAGCCGCCCGACGCGGCTTCGCCTTCGTCGTCGGAGTTCCTCATTCGCGACCACGCGGCGCCACGTACTGCCACGTCAGCAGAGCCGTCTGCGACAACACCGTTCGGCCCAGGCGACTCGTTTCGAGTCGCAGGCGAGGTGGTGGGATGCGTGCGAGGGAACTACGGCGGCACGCATTTCATTCTAGCGTCATGCACGCCGCGAAGCACGGCGACGAGAGATGGTAACACATGTACCGAACCGCGGGGAACAGCTGCCAGCGACAGCGAAATGCAACGAAGCAGCAGCTACGACGATGTTACCCGACACAGGTCGCAGCGGGTTGCGGGCAACGAGCGAGGGCGCTCGCGGTTGGCGGGGAGAGGCGGAGAGAGTGAGGGGAGCGCATCGGGGGAAGAAAACTCGCCGCCGCGCGGCGGAAGCAAGAAAGCGGACGCTCCCGGCAAGGGCGGAAAGGCGGGCATAGATTCCAAATCTGGAACCCCAGGGGTTTCGTCGCAAGAATGGAAGATCGTTGTCGCATGGCGATTTCCTTTTCGCGAGAGGGTTGTCGCATGTCGACCGTGCGTCGTCCAGCCTCGCCGGTGGCGCCGCATCTCGCGCCGCAGGCGGCGCCGTGATCGACGGCGATGCGCGTGCCTCTGAGAACGCTGACGCGGCTCCCCGCCACGTGGCTTCACCGCGAGCGGCCTTCGCGCCGCTGCTGATCGGATGGCTGCCCGCAAAGGGCGGAAAGGGCGGCGGATCCGGGGGGGATGACGGCGCGAGAGGATGGGGAGGAACGGGAGGAGGGGGGACGCGGGGGATCGGGGGGTTAGGAGCAGCAGGGGGATGGCTGACGTGGAATGCGCGGCGCGGCTCAGGAAATGCGCGAGCGAAGGGCGACGACGAGCGGACGGGCGACGAGCAGAGCGAGTCGCAGGAAGAAGCGACGCAGGGGGGAGCGTCGCATCAAGAAGAGTCGCAACGAGAAGATTCGCAGAGAGCAGAGTCGCAGAGAGAAGAGTCGCAGGACGAAGGGGCGGCGCGTTTGACGGAGAAAGGCAAGCCGCAAGGCGTGTTCGGCGTATCCTGGGCTCAGGTACGCCCGCGTCCCCTCTATACGCAGACTCGCTTCAGTGTATTTCACGTCGCCGTGTGGAAGCAAGCGCGCGTAACGCCGTACCCGCCCGTCGCCCCCCGCCCGCAGGTGGCGAATCTGGCGGCGCGGGGAAGCGCGGGGGCGCACGCGGGGGGCGACAATAACGAGGAGGAATCTGGTGATTATAAAGGGAGTGAAAGTAGGGATGCTGTTGCGGGTGCGAATATGAGCAACGCGCTGTGGCGTGTCTTCAAAGGCGCGCAGGGGATCAGCGAGGAGTGTGCTAATAGCGAGGTGGCTGTTGAGTCGACTGAGAAGCGTTCTAGTAACGAGGCGGAGCCAGAGAAGGCCACGTTGCACGGTGGCGGCGCGCTGCAGGGGAGCGGCGCGCAGCTGTGGGGCAGCGCCAGGTGGACGGCGCGCGGGCGCGGAGGCGGAGCGGACAGCTTGCTCGCGCCTGCGTTTCTCCGCGCAATGAAGGGAGTGGGCGCGCGGGGGAGCGGCGCATCTGGCGGGGGCGGGGTTGGCGGCGGTGTGATAGGCAGTTGGGGGAGGGCGGGCGGGGACAGGCGGAGCGGGTGGGCGTGGGTAGACGCGTGGGGGGTCGGGGAGAGGGGTGCGGGCGCGGACGAGGGGCCGCGGAGCAGGGGCACGGGGAAGGCGGACAGGGAAGGGGGAGACGGCGGAGCCAGGAGAGAGGCGGAGGAGAAGGGGGAGTCTGGGGGCCTGGGATGGCGGAAAGGGGCAGGGGCGGGGGAGGGGGGTATTGAGGAGGGGGGAGAAGGGAGGGTAGGCAGGAGCGAAGATGTGGAGGAACAAGGGGGCCAGCGAGTGGGAATTGTGGGAGAGGGAGGAAGTGAGGGGGAGGGGGAAAACGCGAAGGAAGCAGGGCAGGGTGGGGAAAGGAAGGAGGAAGGGGCGGGAGGGATGGGGAAGGAAATAAAGGAGCAGAGTGGAGGGGCAGGGGCGATGAGTGCGGAGGAGGGAGACGACAGGTGCTTGCACACGGAGCGGTTGCATGGTGCTGACTCTGCTGACGCCGTTGACTCGGTTGACTCGGTTGACTCGGTTGACTCGGCGGACTCGGGTGATTCGGTGGACGCCGATGGATTGGTTGACTCAGTTGACTCTACAGAGGACACAGCATGCTCCAGTGGTGCTGGATCTGGTGGCAGTGATGGTGGCCCGTTGCTAAGGTCGTCTACATCCATGCCCTCGCTGCACGCCCGCCGCCCCTCCCACCATGCCCACGCCCTTGCGCATGCCCACGCACACGCGCACGCATCAGCTGTGGCTGTGGTTCCGAGTGCGCAGGATGCCGCAGCTCCTCCCATGCGACCGTCGGCCTCGTTCTCGGGGCCGCTAGTGCAGCCAGGAGCCACAGCAGCAGCTGCGTTGAAGGCTGGGCGTCTGGCAATGGCAGCACCAGCAGGAGGGGCGGCAGCAGGAACATCTGCTAACCCCGGTGGTAACCGCAGCCGCAGCGCCAGTGCTGGCAGCTGCAGCGTGCAGCTGGCAGGCAAGGCAGAAGCGCTGATTCGGTTCATCGCCTCTCCTGCTGTTGCACCCCCTGCAGTGTCCCACGGCATGCCTCGACTGTGGACCAGCGGCAGCAACACCAGCACCATTAGCGGCAGCAGCAGCGGTGGCAGCAGCGGTGGCAGCAGCAGCAGCAGCAGCAGTGGTGGTGGTGGCAGTGGCAGTGGCAGGGGGTGGGTGATGGAGTGCACTCTGCTGGCAGGGCTGGGGCGCACAGCGGGGCAGGGGGGCGGTGGAGGGGGAGGGGGTGGGGGAGCAGGTGGGGGAGGGGGAAGTGGGGGGAGTAGAGGGAGTGGTGGGAGTGGAGGGAACACAGAGCAGGCAGGCCAAGGCTCGGAGCAGGTTCGGAATGTGCAGCTGGTGGCGCATGTGGGTGGCGCTGCTGCTGCCCCTGCTGCTGCTCGTGCATCTGATACTGCTGGTGCTGCTGGTACCTCTGGTGCTGGTGCTGGTGCTGCTGGTGGAGGTGCTACTGGTGCTGGTGCTGCTGGTGGAGGTGCTACTGGTGCTGGTGCTGCTGGTGGAGGTGCTACTGGTGGTGGGGGAGCGGTTTTGGAGGTACGGCTGCGGGATAAAGGTGAGGGGGAGAGGGTGGGGGGTGGGGATGGGGGATCAGGGGCGTGCGTGGTGCGGCTGGTGAGGATGAGAGGAGGACGAGGGGAAGGGAGCAGTGTGGGGCAGGGAGCAGGGCGGAGCAGGAGGGTGAGTGCCCCTGGAGTGCTGGCCCAAGCAGCAGCGGCAGCGACAGCAGGTGTGGCTGCAGTGGGTGCAGCAGCAGCAGCAGGTGCAGCACTAGTGGGTGCAGCAACAGGTGCAGGACCAGCGGCAGCAGCAAAGGGTGAAGCAGCAGCAGAAGCGGCAGCAGCAGCAGCAGCAGCAGCAGGAGGGGGAGGGGGGGTGTATCTGCTGTCTCTGGATACCACAGCAGTCACCCCCCTGCAGGCGCTGGGCATGTGTGTGGCATGGCTTGATAGCGCTGCTGCCAGGCGGCCTGTCGTGTAGTGCTGCCTTCATGCACGACCTAGGTGTGCAGTGCAGTCGTCATCAGCATCAGCATGCATCAGTGCTCCCCTCACGTGCGTTGGGCATGTGTGTGGCATGGCTAGACAGCGCTGCTGCCAGGCGCCCTGGCACATGAGCAGCAAGTGACCCCGCCACATACGGTACCCTATTGCGTGTCATTGAGCGCTGGTTGTTGCGAGTTCTCTTAGACTAGCAAAGCAAGGCATACTCGTGTAGACTCTATAACTAGTTCTGTGGATGTTGGTGACACACATACCACATCAAGTACTCTCACACGCACGCAACCGCATCGCCTGCCTGCGCCCCCCTCCCCCCCTCCACCAACAAAATGGTTAGGAATAAAGTACACAGCCTAGGAACTCTACAGCCGGTTGTGTCAATGCCGCCACACCACAGCACTCCCCCATTCACCAGCCCTTGTGGGGCCTCGGTCCCCATCTGTGGGATGCTCAGCTGAGCATTGTGCAAGTAGCGCTGCTGCCAGCTGCTGCACAACTCTGCTCTGCCACACCTGTTGATGCTCCACAGGTGAGTTGAGGTATGGATGAGTTGTGCGGAACAGCTAGGGGTGCGATGTAGCTGTTGTGCTTCCGTCAGACTCGATCGCGCGTAGCCGCTGTTGTGGCTGATTGACAGTTATCGGTGTTTCTGGAGCGAGAGCTTAGAGCCTCTTGTTATTCTGAAGCTGCTTGCACTGTGGTACACAATGCACCACTCTTGTGATGCCCAACTCTTGTGGCTGACCAGGTAGCCAGTGTTGCAATGCTTCTGTGCTGCTTGTACATGTTGGGCTGAGAAATAGCCCTTAGGATCTTTGCAGGAGTGAATTCTTGGTAGGAACAATGTAATAGCGGAAGCGTTTTAATAAAGGAGTTGAACCACCTTGCGCTAGTATGTGAGGGCAAAGTGAATTGATTAAAGCAAAGAGATACAAGATTATATAAGAGTACAAGGAATATGAAGAGATACAGTTATAACTACTTTACTGTTGCTGTTGCGGTTCGACACAGTGACGACTCGGGCAACTGCTCTGTAACAAGTCAGTTGTGTGCCCTTGCTGTCGCGCTGTACTTGTCAGGTCAAAGGTCGCTGACCTTTGACTTTCGCGTAACCTCCAACAACTGCTCAACCTCCGAGGGTTGACTCGTCGGTGCTTCGATATGTTTCGCTTCGCTTCTGACTTGGTGTTTCGACACGACAGAGGCGCTTAGAATTAATTGTTTCCAACACTCCCCTTCGCTTCTGGAGTGTCGCTGCTGGTGACGTGGCTCTGTCCAGTCAGCAGCATGCAGTACTCGAACTTCTGCTTTCCGAGCTTCTTGGTCAAATAGTCAGCTGCCATCTCGGACGTGGGACAGTATGACAGCTCGAGTCTCCCCTTCTCGATTTCGTCCTTCACGAAGAAGTATCGCAGGGCGATGTGTTTCGTCCTGTTCGCGAAGCCGTTCTTGTTGGCGATGCGAATTGCCGACTGGTTGTCGCAGAACAGGGTGAAGCTGGGTAACTGAGCTAGCTTCGCTTCTTCCAGCAGTTCGCGAAGGTAAAGTCCTTCCTTGGTGGCTGAGCAGAGTGCGATATATTCTGCTTCAGCCGAAGAGAGGGCGATTAATTCTTGCTTGCTCGATTGCCAGGAGATAGGACCGATAGGCTCGAAGCGATAGATGTAGCCGGTGCGCGAGCGCCTGTTGTCGGAGTCGCCGGCGTGATCGGCGTCGACGTAGCCGATTAGTTTATGTGCAGTAGTTCCGTTGTTGTGGTAATTTAGGCCGATCGTCGGGGTGCTGACGAGGTAGTGAAGAGCGCGGTCGAGCTCCGCCAGATGTTCCGCTTCAGGCTTCTAAGGTAGGTGGCGAGCTGGCTTGCAGAGTATGATAGGTCCGGGCGGCAGGTGACAGCTGCGAAGAGGAGGCATCCCAGCTTCCTCTGGTAGTCGCGTATGCCGGCGGGCTTGAGTAGAGCAGAGCCTCCCTTGTTATTTCCTGTCGTGTAGCGGTATGGCATGGAGATGGCGGTCGGTGTGAGAGCGAAGCGTTTGGCGATGGTGTCGGCGTACTTCGCGGCGCTGAGGTAGATCGCGTCTTCCTCTTCCCGGATGTTGAGGCCGAGGTACTGTGTGACGGTAGATGAGACCGTGAGCGTGAGGTCTTGCTGTAGCTCCCCTTCGAACCAGGTTGTGACACCGTCGGTCGAGCCGATGTAGAGCAGATCGTCTACATAGACGATTAGCAGGATGTAGTCGGTGTCCTTCGTGAGCCGGTACATGCCCTGATCGTGCGGTAGTTGCTTGAAGCCGATGCGAGGTATTGTTGCCATAGCCACGGAGCTTGCTTAATCCCGTAGAGCGAATTGAGTAGCTGGCAAACGTGGTTGGAGTCCGTGCTGGATCCGTGTGGTAGTTCCACGAAATTCTCTGCGTCAACAGGTGCGTAGAGGAATGCGTTGGCGACGTCAATTTGCCGCAGCTTCTTCTTCTTCATGGCGGCGATTGCGAGGAGGATTCGTAGCGAAGTGTGTCGGCTGACCGGAGCGAATGTTTCGGTGAAGTCGCATCCATGCTCTTGGTCGAAGCCGCGTACGACCCAGCGCGCTTTAAACTTGTCGATGGTGCCGTCAGCCTTCGTCTTCACGCGGAAGACCCACTTTCCGGTGAGAATCGTGCTACGCTGATGGGAACAACCTTCCACGTGTTGCGTTCCTCCAGTGCCTTCAGCTCCCTGTCCATGGCTTCGCGCCATTTTTCCCTATGCGACCCCCCCAGAGCCTGCTGAACTGTCGCAGGCTCCTTAGGAATCGCCGCGCCGTGGACTGCAGTGACGAGCCCAAGTATCTGGAGTCCACTCTGTGTGTAGCGGGGGAGTGTTGTGTCCTCGGGATAAACTGCTTCATCTCCCGCTTCTGGATCAGGTATGAAATTGGGTCCTACGCGTTCTGCTTCGTTGGTGTTGACTTGCTCAGGTGTAACGTAACCGTCGTCGGCGAACTTGTAGAAGACTTCGGCGTTGATGCTTTCGCGAAGGTTGTGATCGTCCATCAGTACGTCTACCCAGCAGTATGGGAGTGATCCGGCTTCTTCCGGGGCTCTGTCCACATTCTGCTCGTCCCAGTCAGCTTCGTCGGCTGCCGAAGCGAAGGCTCGGTCTCCACGAAAACCATTGCTCTGGTCGGGGTTTCCTTCTTGAAAGTTGGCAAGGTAGTATCACATGATGAGTCCTTCGTAGAAGATGACATCACGTGCTGCCACTGTTTCCTTTGTCTCGAGGTCGAAAAATTTCCATGCTCTGTAATGCTTTTCGATGCCCATGTGTAGTCCCCACTGTGCGCGTTGGGAGAATCGGCCGGCTCGTGCTTATGGGGGTCGGTACTGTACCATGCAGCCGAAGACTCTCAACATTTTTGTGCTGCCCAATTTTCCTGTCCACAGCAGATGCGGTGATGCGTTGTTTGGGAGCGATGATGACGAGAGCAAGTTGTGCAGCATGACGGCGTGGTCCATTGCTTCGGGCCACTGGTGGTTGGGCAGGTGCATGCCACGTAGCAGCTTGCGCATGGTGTTCTGGAGGGTCCTGTTCATCCTTTCTGCTACACCTTGCTGTTGATGGGCGTAGGGAAGGGAGATGAGCCGCTTGATTCCTC